AGTCAGGAAGAACAAAGAGGGGTTTTGGTGAGGTCTGCGGTTTCTAACAGAATCCAGCTCTCGGGAGCCTTTTCTTTGGCCCACATAGTACCGTTACGACAGTGAATTAGATGCAACATTTTAAAACTGGGCGATTTCATGTTAAAATCCTGGCTTTTCTTTTTAAAGCACCTGAACAGCCACAGCAGGCCCGGATTCCCCCAGGCCACGAGTACCCCCTCTAAGTGGGACACAATCTCAACTGTGCCCTGGTCCCCACCACTCCCTAGTGCCCACCCGCCCCTTTGTGCAGTTAACCTGCCTGTCCAGCCCCTTGAACACTGGTTTTCGACCTCTGACCTTGAAGGTCCCTCAAGTCTCCAGCCAACGTGTTACCTGTGATTTCCAGGTAGGATACTCTCGTAGCAGGCAGGGAGAGGGAGAATTCAGGATTCCTACATAATCGTGACTGAGGCTTCAGTTTTTAATCCAACCTGAGCTGAGCTCACAGAAGAAAAGCCAGAAAGAATACAGAGCGTTCCCTTCCCACAAGATTCCTTCTGCAGGCAACAGCCATCACTTTCGAAAAGGCCCCCGTCTCCATTTTTACTAACAAGTGGTCCTTTGTCCTCCTCTCTGCCACAGGATCCCCATAATCTAAGGTGTGTTGGAACACACTGAACTGGAGAACTCTGGGGCTGGGCCAAGTGCACAGGGAGCCGTGGTAGCCAAGGGGGAGGAGGGGACAGTGGGGCCCTGCCCGGCCCTCGAGCCTGGTCAACCCAGGGATCTGGTTCTCCAGTAATTCATTCCAACAGCGTTCGTTACTGTGTGCTTGGCCCTGCCCCCCCCCCCCCCCCCCCCCCCCCCCCCCCCCCCCCGCAGCTCACGTTAGCTTTCCCAAGCCCCGTGCTAGGCCCAGCGAGCCCCCCGTCACGTGGGAACTGGATGGCTTTAAAGGAAAGCCACCTTTCCTTTCCGAGGTGCCAGAGGATGCACTTTAAATACCTGGGATTCGGGGCGCCTGGGTGAGCGTCTGACTTCGGCTCAGGTCACCATCTCACGGTTTGTGAGTTCGAGCCCCGCGTCAGGCTCTGTGCTGACAGCTCGGAGCCTGGAGCCTGCTTCGGATTCTGTGTCTCCCTCTCTCTCTGCCCCTCCTCCCGGCTCACGTTCTGTCTCTCTCTCGCTCTCTCAAAAATAAACATTAGAAAAGCAATAATAAATAAATACCTGAGATTCACGGTCCTAGGAATCAAGGAACTACAGTAATGTGCCCTCTCGGGTGAATCTCCCTTGGCCTCGGCCGATAGCATCTTGGGAACACCTGAGTGAGAACACCTGTAACTAGCTGTTGCGTGCACTGTGATGGGCTCAGGGGTGGGCTTGTCCCGGCCCACACCCTTCACCCCAGGGCCCGTCCACGGTGACACAGGAGGAGAGGAGGGAGGGAGAGACATCGGTGCTTCCTCAGGGCCGGGGACACTGGCACAGGGAGAGGGTGGTTCACCACGCAGCTCTGGGGACCTGTGTGGTTTGTGCTATAGAAGCCAGGTGAAGCCCATTCTTCTCTCGGAGTCCCTGGAACGCTCAGGCCTTAGAGGCTCTGTGAGCTTCTTCAACAAGATCCCCATTTAAGCTTTTTATTTTTTTGTAAGTTCTGATCTCGTCAAATTACTAACAGAATTCAACTTTAATTTTTTTTTTTTAACATTTATTTTTGAGAGACAGAGCGTGAGCGGGGGAGGGACAGCGAGAGAGGGAGACACAGAATCCGAAGCAGGTTCCGGACTCAGAGCTGTCAGCACAGAGCCCAACGCGGGGCTCGAAGTCGCGGGCCGCGAGATCGTGACCTGAGCTGAAGTCGGACGCTCAACCGACTGAGCCACCCAGGCGCCCCTAACAGAATTCAACTTTAATGGAGCATTTATTAATCTTCTTTAGAAATGTTCTTTCAACACACCTTGGGAAACGCTGGGGCCTTAACTAGTTCTGAGTTCTAGTTCCAACTGGCCAATTTACTGGCCCTATGGCTTTGGGCAAATTACATTTTTTTAAGTGTTTATTTTTGAGATAGAGCACACATACACGCACGCACAAGCAGGGGGAGAGGCAGAGAGAGGGAGAGAAGAGAATCAGAAGCAGGCTCCGGGCTGTCAGCATAGAGCCTGACACAGGCCTGACTCTGGGCTCAATCCCACGAAGCAGGAGATCACAACCTGAGCCGAAATCAAGAGTTGGATGTTTAACTGACTTGAGCCACCCCAGCGCCCCTGGGCAAATTATTTAATCTCTCTGACCTCCACTTCCTTCAGTATGTGATGGAGGTCATAACACCTGTCCTGTCTTCATTTCAGGGGTGAAATGCGATTCTATTTCGCAACTTCTGAAAACTGATACTAGGCCCCGATCCTGCTGGATCTGATTCAGTAGGCCAGCACTGGGGTCCACAAAGAATCTGCATTTTATACATACAAACAGACCCAAACCCTCCATTTGTGGTCTATCTTATCTGCACAACGCACGGTCAGGGGCCCCCTCCTGGCCCATCACAACGGGCTGGAGAGACAAAAAGACAAGCACTTCCCACATAGATGGGAAAGGCCTCAGATTTAGCATTTCAGAGCTCTGCAGAGCTTTGCTCTGGTGTCTGATGTTCTGTTCACCAACTTCCTCTTTTATGTACCGGGAATCCCATCGTTCAGTTGGCACACGCTGGGTTAGAGACAATCACTGACAAGAGGGGTGTGCCTTTGTCAACGAGAACTCCAAGCCTGGGACTCAGCGATGGACCTACCCGCGACGAACCCCTGCCAGGGACGAGCTGAGCCAGCACACGTCCTGCACGGGGTCCCTACAGGCACGCTGCAGAGGCTGGGGCTTCATGTTACGCAAGGAGTTAGGTAACTTGCCCACAGTCACACGGCTAAGGAGCAGTCAGCTTGGATTAAGGCTTTGGGAACAGCACATGCCGGACCCCGGATCCTAGCAGGCACACAGTCAACGGCTCAAATCTTCAGCCTTCCGGATTTGGTGCTGTTTTCTACACTCAGCTCCCTCCAGGTTTCTACGTACCTCCTGGAGAGGCCGAGACCGCGAACATCGAACATTCCTCAAACTTGTACACGCGACACAAACAACAGATTCAACTGATCCCTTGTCACTGTTTCTGCCGAGTGGAGGCTGCAGGGAAAAGCCAGTGGGTGACAGGCGCAAGAGACAAGCCCAGAGCAGGCACTGTGCGGAGTCAAACAGACCAAACGTCAAGAGCCATTTTTGAGACACGCGGGCACACGTGACCGTGCACCGGGTACGGGATGAAATCATTCACTTTGGTGGCTGTGCTGAGGTGCGAAGAGCATCCTCAAGTCCGCAGCGGCGACAGAGAAAAGAAGGGGGACGGACAGATGAAGATGCGGCAAAATCCCGGTGACCTGTTTCACGTGGGTGATGAGCAAATACACACAGCCTTGTGTGTACCGACCACACCGAAGCCCCAGGAAAAGAACCACTCAGTTCTCCCGGCGGTGCCGGAGGGGTTTGCCTCTTCAAGCCCCACACCCACCTCCGCTCCGGAATCTTCTGGCATCCAGCCCAAGGGGAGGCCCGCTCCTTGTCCCAGTGGGAGAGGACACACAGGTGGGCCTAGACCTACTGCACTGGCCACTCGGAGAACTTACCAGAGCAGCACCACCCTCCCGTGTGCCTGGGCCACTTGGCTGGAAAGAGGTCGTCTGGAAAGGCCCGCCCAGGCGGCCCTGCCCAGGCAGCCCCGCCCCAAGACCTAAGACCTGCTTCCTGGCCCCCAGCAGGCCCCCTCCACAATCACACGTCACTGCTGAAAGCTGCCGCTGGCTTCAGAACTGTCCTCCTCCTCGCTTCTGTGTTAGTCACGTCAGGAGCAGGGGAGTGTCAGGGGAGGGGAGGTGGAGGCGAATGGAACCGCTGGAACGAGGCTCCCATCACGCACGAATCCCCCAGACCCCCGTGTCGGGGCCGCACCACGCCCTCCTCCCGGGCCCCTGAAGTGCTGGGGACAGTCTCCTCAGCCTCCACCCCTGCCATCCACACAACCGGGAACTAGATGCCCGTGCCCCTCACAGCCAGGACACCCCACTCCCCGAATGCTCGGGGGGTCTGTGGCAACAGGCACCTGCAGGGCCAGCCAGCCCCTCCCCCATCCTCCAGCTGTAGGCTCCAGGGCAGTGGCCGGACATTCTCTGACACGGTGACGGGTAATTTTCAGTAATTGCTTTATTCCATCATGACTGCCTACCCTATCTTTTCCATCACCCGTGCCCTAGGCCACCTCTCCTCCAGCAGTACTGACGCCGAGAGGTGGGGCCGGCCTAAGCAGGTGGGCAGGCGGCCTCCGTCCCCGACCCACGGCTGGAGCACAAACTGACTCCCAGGGTCTAGGGACGGAGAGACCTCCTCGCCCCACAGTCCTGAAGCGTGAAAGCAGAAAACCGCGATGGCCTTAGATCCCGCGCCCAGAGAGGCGGTGACTGTTTATCTCAACCGCAGGCTTGGTAGTTCTTGGTGCCGTGCGGGAAGAAAAGCAGCTACCACGGACCATCAGATCTTCAACTAGTAATTCCTCAGACAAGGGTAAAATAAAAGGCAAAAAAAACAAAAAACAAAACAAAAAAAAATGTGATTTGGCAAACTGTTTTCTTAAATTTTAAATTAAAAGAAAAAAACATTCACACAGAAAGATTCAACTTATCTGCTTTGAAGAAATATATTAAAAAGCTGGAAGGTTAAAAAAAAATCAAACTAGCCCCAAATAATGGTAAAAATAGAGCATTATCCTCTGTAAAATGCAGGCTAATCTACTGAGTCATTCATATCTATTCAGTATTCAAACTGTGGTGAAACACCAGAGTATAAAAAAAATTTAAACCAAAAAAGAATTGCCCTTAAGCTAACCCACGCCAACCTTGCGGCTACGTGGGAGCTCTACCACCCGACGCAGCTGAGTAGCTACAATGTGTGGTCCTCCGCCCATACAGCGAACCTCACGAGGCCTTCAAAAAGCTCCCTCCTGGTCTACTCAGTTTTGTGGCGTGTTCTTCTACAAACTTGCTCAAATGTTCCAGATCTCGGTTTCCATCCTCAAACTTTATCGGGTTCTTTTTGTCCCCGCTGGGGGCAAAGTAGATGGTCGAGAACCCGCTGTAGCGGTTGTTGGGGATATGGTTGGCGATTGCGTCCATCTTGGCGATGACCAGATTCTTGTAGCCCTTGTACTTCTTGCCGGTGATATGCTTTCGGGCTCCGGCTGCTGCAGTGCCCGCGCACCAAGTAGCTAGAATTGATAAGGGCGTCCTTCTTGGGGTCCATCACGATGAAGTCAAAGCGACTTCCCCCTGCGACCTTGACAGGTCCCTTGTTGTTCAGGCCACCGGCTGGGACTTGACAACCCGACTTGCCACTGCCGGGAAAGCAAGCAGGGGGCGTGTGAGTGCTGCAAAAGGCCCTGGGCTCTGGCGGCCCTCACAGGACCAGGTGGCAGACCAGCCGAGTGCAGGGCAGAGGCTGATCAGCCTTGGCCAGATTGGGCCCGCCTCACTAAGCGGGCCCATAGCTCTCTAGCCTCCCCTTCCTCCCAGTCCCTGGGGCCAGAGAGCCCTGTCGATGGTCACACAGGCCCGATGGGACGCTGGGCCCCGATCAGCCGAGAGGTCACAGGAGAACCCACCTGATGCGAGGGCTCGAGGAAGAGCTGGCAGCGAGGCTGGGGAAGGCCTGCAGGTACCAACACAGGGTGGGTGACAGAGGGCCGAGCGAGGTCCATGAGGACTCCAGCCCCGCCAGGGCGAGGTGCTCACCCAGATCAACAGAATGCCTGATGCCTCAGAGCAAGTTTTCCGTGTACAAAACTTACTTCTAGGTCAAAAGCCTGCTTTACATTAAACATTTTTTAAAATAATAGGGCTTCTCGAAATTTCTGAGATATGGCCTTTGGGGTACAAAAAAAAAAGCAGGCATGGGGCCTGTGTCTGTTCTTACCCCCGCCCCAGGTACAGGAGAGCACGCCCAGGGCAGGCTCCACCAGAAGGGAGTCCGAGAGGGGGATGCAGTGTTGGGCACAGGTAACCCACCTCAGCCCCCAGGCTCCATGTGGGGAAAGCTGGGCCAAGGCTCACCTTTTTTGAAAGCTCTGGCCAGAACTCGCAGGAGAGTGTCAGAGTCAAACTCATCGGGGCTCCATGGCTGAACTTCCTCTCGTCCAGGATGGCTGCGTTGACGTCCTCGCCGCTCTCGCTGAGCCCCAGGTCCTTCACCTCCGTGGCAAAGTCATCCTCATCAGCCCCTTGACTGAGGTGTATTTTCGAGGGAAGTCCTTGGCCACAGGACCTTGTTCATAAAACTGAGTGGCTGAAATGGGACGGAGCACTGTGAGCTGAGCCGTAGAGATCAAGTTTAAGATTCTGTGGCTCGGACTCTCTGACCAGGCTCAAGCCTCACTTGGAGAGATAAGCATTTCTGAAAAGCCCCTCTGTGAGCAGGTGGACCTTGCTCAAAAGCCCAATGAGCCCAAGTGGCCTGTGCCCAGTGACATAAACCAACCCCTTCCTGCCTGAGGATCAGGGGCTGGTCTAGTCCCAGCTCTGCCGCCCCATCTCTAAGAGATCTTTGGATTCCACACTAAGCTCCCCTCGTGCTAAAAAAGGAAGGAAGAAGGGCAAGTCTATGCAGCAAAGAAGGAAAATTGCCTCGGAACCACAAATGCAAAATACACCCTTGCAAACCCCTGAGGTCTTGGTGGCAGGATTCCTGGAGTCACGAGGAGCCCAAGAGCCCCCACCAAGAGCCCCCCTCCGCTGGACAGGCCCTGGGGTCTCACCAGCTCTGTAATCAAAGCTGAAGTCCACGCTGTAGTAGACGACCACCAGGGGGCGCCGCGTGTACCGCTTGGCGTCATTGGAGGTCTTGCGATGGCCCACCAGGGGCAAGGTGTGCTTCAACACGTGGTCCCTGATGGCTGACCCCTCGGTGGTGCTCTGCAAAAAAAAAAAAAGGGGGGGGGCAGGTGAGGAGCAGTTTCACGGAGGCGGGGCTCATCTCACCCCACCTTCCGCTGCCACTGTTGAGATGCTGTCGAGGAAGGCATCTGAGCTGCTGGGGGAGCACACCCAGTAAGACCCTGGTGTCTTTCAGGGCCCCTTTCCTCCACTGACCCCTAAGTGAGCTTCTCAGGCTACGGCAGACACCATGTGACCTTTCCTCTGGGTCTGAGGTGTCAATTAGGAACAGCTGCAGGGGGCGCCTGGGTGGCTCTGCCGGTTAAGCATCTGACTGCGGCTCAGGTCATGATCTCAGGGTTCGTGGGTTTGAGCCCTGCATCAGGCTCAATGCTGATCGCGCGAGTCTGCTAGGAATTCTCTCCCTCTCTGCCCCTCCCCAACTCACGCTTTCTCTCTCTCTCTCTCTCTCTCAAAATAAACAAATAAAACTTAAAAAAATTTTTTTTAAAGAAAGGAAAAGAAACTGCTGCCGGAAGGCGGGCTTCCAGACAACGGCTGTTCCCACGGCTGAGCAGAGTGGAACGATCTATCTTCCCCTCATGTGACCTTCACTACAGCCCCACCGGGGGCATTTTACAGAGATGAAGGGAGGGAGGCTCAGGGGCACACACCTGCTGAGCAGCTATGCTGGGCTTCGAATCCTACCTTGAGAAACAACACCCATGACTACCGGTTACACCAGAGCCCGGCCAAGCTCTCAGGGAAACGCAGAGCCAGACAGAGCTGCGCGGCTGGAGGCTGCTGCACCTGAGGCCACCCCTCCTGAGACAGGGCCAGGAGGCGGGGCGTGCGGGGCTCAGCTGTCTGGTACCAGGCACCTGTCCTTGGACAGGCTCAACAACAGTGGCTCTTAAAGCTGGTTCACGAGGCTTCCCAAGTGTTTTCCAGATGAGATGGACCCGACTGACAATTTATGCAGCACCTGTGACCAGCTGGGCACAGCAGCAGTGGCCTGGGGACACGGAACTCAGGCGACTGCCCCAAGGGACGCGCAGGGCCCCCTGATTCATGGTAAGACAGTCTGAGTCAGAACCTCCAGACACCAGCCTCACAAACACATTACAGAGGAAGAAACTGAGGCACGGCCAGGCTGAGTTGCTCACCCAGGTCACACAGGTGGAAGTGGTTGGGGAACACCACACTCTTCGCTCTGGGCCCCAGTCCTGTCAGGATGGGACAGTCAGGGAGGTGGCCCTGTGTAGCACTAAAGGATGGCAGGAATTGCCAGGTGGGAGGGGGAAGGCGCTCCGGGGGAGGAAACAGCAGGAACCCAGCAGGGTACAAAGTCCCAGGGGAGGGGAGGGAGCAGGGGGAAAGTGCTGGAAAAGCACACAAAGAGGATGGCAGGTCAGGACAGCCGCTGGACTGAACACCTGGAAGGTGACCTCAAGAGTAAAGTAGAGTGACCCCAGGGCACACGTGCTCTACAGCTGGGCATGTGCCACCCACAGGCCTGAGCCCGAACTCAAGGGCAGAGCTGGCCTCACATCCTGCAAGCAAACAGCTACTTTCTTCTGGCAATGCTTCTTGTGCTGACTTTACACCTGGCTTCACCGTACCTGTCCTGCCTTGGTCTTTCCTTTGCCCAGATTTCCAAATCCACCTTTTACAAAATCGCATTTCACTGTGTTGTGTAAATTTTTACAAAGCAGTCTTAAATAATTCTGGCAACAAAGGTGGCATGTAAGCAATGCCAATCTATTTATTTGTTTTAAAGTTTATTCATTTGTTTTGAGAGCCAGAGAGCAAGCAAGCAGGGGAGGAGCTAAAAGAGAAGGAGAGAGAGAATCCCAAGCAGGCTCCGCACTGTCAGCACGGAGCCCGACGCGGGGCTCGAACTCACGAACCGCGAGATCATGACCTGAGCCGAAATCAAGAATCGGGACACTTAACCGACTGAGCCACCTAGGCGCCCCATCACCGATCCATTTAAGGTAAAGAGTAAAAGGCAGCGATGCATATAACAAACTAGACCAAGTGGCCCTTAACCTTTTGGGGGTTAAGGACCCCTTCAAGCTGTCTATGGAAAGCTGCAGACCCCTTTCCTGGGAACATGCACACCACCTGGAATGGTGCCTGATTCCTGGGGTCGCCTGAAGAGGAGGCGGAAGGGACAGGAGAGGGAGCAGCCCCTGTATGTCCAGGGGAAGAGAGAGGGACCCTGAGCCTGAGGAGATGAGCAGATGTGGCCACGAGTGAGACTCCAAGGAGGAGCCATGGTGTTCACGACCCAGGGAATCAGAAAGATTCAAGGTGGCCTCTCCAAGGCCCCACATGCTCCCTGTTCACAAAAATGGATCAGAAGGTACGAGGCTGCTCCCTATGGTGCTCACCCTGCCTGGGCCGCCACATCCTCCAGGTCCCAGGAGAGCCCTGGCGGGGGAATGGGGGCACTTGCAGCTTTCCCTCAGCCTGCCCCTAACCGGTAGTGGCAGTCTGGGCCATAGCTCACTGCTCTGCAGCCCAGTCTATCCAAGGAGAGCTCTGGGACCCTTGGCATCAACGGTTCTTCCAAATCTGAAGATCCGCTCACAGAAGCGCCAGGCACCCGTGAAGCACTCCAGACACAGAGCTGGATCCAGGCTCACCCCGGGCCAGGAACCCCTCACGCCCTTCTCAAGGGAGCGTGTCACACGGTTTCGGAAGAGGGGGGCTGGGGAGGCCAGCGGAAAGAAAAGCAAGGCCAACCTCATGTGCCGCACTCCACAGCTCCATCCGGTGGAGAGAGGCCTGCATCGCTCTGTACCCTCAGGGCCTCGCCTACCCTTTGGCTAAGGGGGCCTAGGTCAGAGACAGGAGCACGTCCTGGCCCAGAGCAATGCTGGACATGCAGGCCAGGCCCGCAGTGGCTGGACGCCCAGGGAAGCTGGCACTGGGCTGCAGGAGCATGAAGAGAGGGAGCAATGCTGGCAGGGGTGTGAGGCCCCCAGGCCCCCCAATAAACCACCGACCACCCTGCTGCCTGCGCTCACGTCTTTAGCCTCCCAGGAAGCTGCACCTTTACCATGGGGGTCGGGAAACGGGGGCCTGGAAAGGCTCCAGGCTCAGAACCGCAGCGTTGGCTCAACCAGCAGCCTGAGGCCGATCAGAAGCCTGGGTGTACAACACAGTGAACAGTTCCACATGCCTGAAACTAGTATTATGTTGTAGGCTAACTGGAATTTAAATAAATATTTAAAAAAAAAAAAAAAAAAAAGGCAGCCTGGGACTGCGGTGGCCGCTGAGCCCTCACGCACCTGGATCTCCATCACGTAGCTCCTGGGCTCGAATTTGGACTGGAATTTCTCAGGCTGCATTACAACCAACTTCCCAGAGGAGACTTTCAAGAACTTTGCTATTTCAGTGCTGAAAGTGTGGTGGAATTTGTAATCTTCTCTTAGGTTGTTGGCTGAGGAAGTAACAGAATGGTAAGTGCACAGTTTATTAAACTGCCTGACAGATCTAGGCTTAACTCATGACTCTTAAAGCTGTTGCCCTGCAAAGACCATGATTCCCACTGTGAATTCTGTGTGGACGATACCTAGAGTATGAACACTTGAAGTTTGGATTTTAAAACTTGGTACAGGTGTATTGCCTTAGAGCCTCTATATCAGAATTGGCTTAAAAAAAAAAGATAACCGTTCACAGAACAGCTCAGAGCTAACTGGTCAGGAGCTACTGTCTCCAATGCTGAGAAATACATTAAACCCCCAGACAATCCGTGTGAACAGGGGAGCGTCACACTGTTATACCCACATGGCGGCTTTTCACACGCAGCCCCTGCAAGTGGGCTGGCCTCTCCCCCTCGGACTGGTGGCTGGCCCGTTTGCAGGCTGCAGGCCTTTTGCTATGCACACTTTCACTTAGATCTTGTCAGACCCTCAAGATGAAACCCCCAGCCTGAGAATACTCCAGAACGGGGGTTGGCAAACCTTCCGGAAAGGACCAGACAAGATCTTCGGCTCTGTAGGCCATACTCTCCTAAGCACTCAACTTTGCATTCCAGTGTGAGAGCAGTTAGACAGCATGTAATAAAGCGTGGCCATGGCCCTGAAAGACTAAGGAGACCAGGCAGGGGCTGGATTTGGCCCGCAGGCCGGTTTCTCCATCCGTGCCCTGAGTCCCCCGG